AGAATTTTTTCAGTAGCTATAGTTTGGTCTTCTGATATGGATAGCGAAGAGATAGATACTATGTCAGTCAGATTATCTCAACCGACTAGCTCATGAAGGCGACCCCGAGATGAAGAACTGCCTACACCACGACGACGACGGAGGATACCGAATAACCGATCACTGGTGATTGTATTAGAGTCCGAGCCTGCTTACGATGGTCAGCCAAAAGGCGTGTTTGCAGGACAATTTCATAATGAAGACACAGAAGTTCATGCTTGGTCAGAAGTTGAGGGAGTGGGCCACTACTGTTGGCTTCAAGGACCGATGAACCACTTGCCTCGTGAACAACAGTTGGAGTTCATAGCAGACGTTATGCGACAGAGCTTCATTTTCTTGCATTGGTATTGATCAACAACATTGCTTCTCAGAGACCTCGAAGCTAAAGGAGGGGGTGATGTTAGGGACATAATTCTTAGAATCTTCTAGAGACAAGTTTCTAGAACCTTCTAGAAGCAAGTCTCTGGAACCTTCTAGAAGCTTCTTAATTGCCAAAAGATATTAGGGACATAGTCCTTAGAACCTTCTAAAGATAAGTTTCTAGAACCTTCTAGAAGCAAGTCTCTAGAACCTTTTAGAAGCTTTCTAATTGGTAGAAGTTGCTTGAGAAGCTTCCTAAATAGAAGTATATATTGGAATCGAGGCTGAAGAGTTCTTCAGTCTCGACAACACATCTCTTAGAGCTCTAGCTCACCTCTCTGGTGTTGTTCTTGTATTCATCTGATTAATCTAGTTCTTGCCAGTTCTTCTTGAACTTCTTGTTAGATCTCGAATCTGTATTTCTGTGTCCGAGACATGTTGGTGCATTTGTAAGTCTAAAAGGCATGACATTATATTTGAAATTTCCATACTTGATTCAAAATGCAGTCTTCTATTCATCTCCTTCTTTGATGTGTATCAGATTATATACTCTTCGTAAATCTATTTTTGTATAGATCTTAGCTTGATTCAACTGATCAAGAAGTCTAGATAATAAAGATAGTGGATATTTATTTTTGATGGTGATCTTATTGAGTCTTCAATAATCAACACATATTTGTAATGATCCATCTTTTTTCTTCACAAATAGAATTGGGGCTCTTGCTGGAGATTTAAAATGGCATATGAAATTCTTGGCTAGATTTTCTTTAATATACTCCTTAAATTAAACCAATTCATTTTGTGATAAATTGTAGATTGGTCCAAATAGTAGTTGTGCTCCTTCTTGAAGGTCAATTGAGCAGTCATAGAGATGATGTTTTGAAAGAGTATCTGCATTCTTTTTTTCAAATATATCTTAAAATTCTTGATATTGGCTTGGAATGCTACTTGAAGTCTTTGCACTATTAAAAATAATTGCGGCATAAATGACTCAAGGTGATCCTTCTTTTGCTGCATGCAAGAAAGCTCTTGCACCTACAAACATATGTTTAATTGTATTAGACTTGTGATTTTTTACTTGATTAACTATACTCTTAGTAGTACTTTTAAAAAAATCAAGAATATGAAAAATTCAATCTATTCAAGGATTGTATTTTTTTAACCATGATAAGCCTAAAATAATTGGATTAGAAAAAGATCTAATAATATTAAATAACACAAAGCTATTATGACCATTAATTATTACTTCTAGAAGAAATATTTTGTGAGTAATATCTCCAAAAGACAACGAGTAACTATCTATGACTTCTACATGAATAGATTTAGTTTTTCTTATTAAAAATATGCTAAGTCTTTTAACAAATTCTTCATCTAAGAAACACGTTGAGGCTCTTGAATCTAATAAGGTAAAGGCTTTGTAATATATAGGTTCTAAAATAATCTTTAATATAAAACAAGGAGTGGATTTTGAAGAAAGAATAGGACCTTCATTAGATATTGTATAAAGTTCCAATTGCACGGCCCCTATTGTAGCTAGAAAAATTCAATTTTTTAATATATTATCTTCTTTGACATTTTTACTCCTCATTTTATAATTGCGTCGCTTCTTTGGACAATGTTGAGCAATGTGCTTAAATTTTCTATAATATAAGCACAAATCTTCTTGACGGCAATGAATCTTTTCTTTCTTAGTAAGAAATTTGAAACATACCATATCAATTTATATATCCTCTACTTCCAAAGGTATGTATTGAAGAGGTGTTGGTGTTGCCATTGAATTATAGTAATGTTGAGGCCTACTTATCTGACTCTCATATCAAAATTCAAAAAGTTGATTGTCACACTTCATAACAAAGTCAATTATTTAACTCAATGTTTGAAGATCAAGTAAATTGAGCATCAATTTCTTTACCTCTTATTGTAATCTATAAAAAAATTGGCTAATAAATGTAGTATCATCCCACTTGATATCAGTTACAAGTTATCAAAATTGTGAAGCATATAATATTTCAAATCAATTGCCTTGTCATAAAATATGGATCTTATTGGTTGCAACACAAGTTGCATTATATTTTGCATACATAGATCAAAACTCTACTAAAAAAAACCTCCAAATTATCCAATATTGAATCTTATTATTCCAAAAAAGATAAAAACCATGATATTGCTGAACCTAAAAGAAGTGTATCAATGAATCTAATTTGTGATCTTGGAGTTGGATAGCTTTGAGATTGAAGTTCAATCACAAGTTGTACTTGATTGATAAATCCATGAAACTTAGATCTTGTACCATCAAACTTCTCAAGCATGACAATTCTTGGTTTTTTAAAGTCAGAAGAATGTTCCACCATAGGAAAAGGGGCATGATTGAGTGCAGATGTTGAAGTAGCTCCAATCATATCTATATCTTTATTTTTTGCTATTCTTGTTGATCCTTGTGGTGGTAAATTGAATTGATGCATTGTAAGTATTAACTCTTTCAATTGCTCTTATATTTGTGTCATTGCAGTCTTTATTTCAACAAGCTCTACTATGATAATACTTAAAAAATAAATGTCTAATATTGCTTAAGACAAGGAAAAGAGGGGACTTGAGAACAAAGAAGATATTAAGAACAATATTAATTTAGAAGAGAATAATCCATAACTTCTAATATGCTTATGTCTTATAAAGAAAAGGGAAGGTAATCCACTCTTAATCAAGAGAAGATAAAGCTCTAATATTATAAGTATACTCTTGTCAATTTTTCAAGGACATGAATTAAAAGAAGATCCATAAATCTAAAAAGTTTGTATTAAAAGAAAAGTGACAAAATAGTAATAAAGTAGTATGTATATTAAAAAGAAATTAGAATGACTATTTTCAAAAGACAAAGGAACTAGAGACTCTTAAATCTAGACTAGAAGCAAGAAAAGAGTTGACAAAAGTGAAGAGAGCTTCACTCTTGCCTCTATATATATATATTATCTAACTAAGAGCTTTGTGGCAATGTTCTATAGGACTTTTAATATATGTTGACTTTGCAAGATACATGCCTTAGCTTATAAGGCAAGCTTTCTATGTGTGGGCCACATAGTTAGCTTGTTCTTCAAGCTACCAACATGTGTGGCACATGGCCAATTTGTTGACTATGTTTCTAACCTAAAAGGTCAATTATAGACACATATAAAGTCAAAATAGCATTTATGAAGCTTTTAAGAAGCTTCTATAGAAGATATTATGGAATTAACAGACTTTTATCTACTTCTATCGAATCATATAGATAATTATTGATTTATATGTGTATGTCCATGACAATTTTTCAACAATGTCTACAATTAAATCCATGTCTATAAAGCTTCTAAAAAAAACTTTTTTATAAGATATTATATAATTTATCTATTATTATTTATATTTATTTAAATTTTTATTTAAGTTATTAGTATTATTGATTATATATGTGACAAGTATCGATTTTTGAGGGATAAATTTAGAAAAGTATATATATATATATATATATATATATATATATATATATATATATATATTATATTATTATATTTTATTTTCTATAATTTTTTAAAAATTAGCCTTAAAAAAATATATTATTTTTAATTTTATTTTAAAATTTTATAGTAAGAAATTATTTACTTATTCTAATTATTATGTATTAAAATTTTTCAATATAGCCATTGATTTATTTCAACCAATAAAGTATTTTTTTTGCATTGATATAAGAACATATAATTTTTTATAATTATATCTTTAAAATCCCTTTATTTTAAAATCTTTATAATAAATAAAGTAATATTTAACAAAAAATTAAAAAATTCAACCTTTACAATTACAACAAATAATTTTTAGATATTTACTTGATTTATTTAGTTTTTTTATATTAAATTCAAATATTTAAAAATTTTACATGTATATAAGAAATAATTAAATTGTCCAAGCATTTATTAAATCAATTCATCCATCATTATTAGTTGCAAATCCAACCATTTTTTTATTGGTTTTTAATCAATATGGATCCAACAATAGAGACTTTTTAGACGATGGTTAGGATTGTGGATTGATTTAATAAATGCTTTGGTCAATTTAATAATTTCATATATATATATATATATATATATATATATATTGATTAAAAAATTCTATAATCAAATCATTTTTATATCTACACTTAGTCTACTTATTGGTTAAAGAAATGCAAAAATAAAAATAATTTTTTTATGTAACTATTACCAAAACCTACTATACAATTGTACTATTTATCAAGGTCATAATCCTATCCCAACCTCGTAAAACATGCTCCCAATATTATACAGGATTAAAGTAAAAATCTTTGTAAAACATTGCTACCATTTACAAACATTGCAACATTCCTTATACTAAACTAACTCAGTTAGTTGTATTCTGCTACTTCAAGTTCAAATTCCTTGGCCTCATTATGGTATGTGAGAGGGAGAGAGTATAGATAGGGCATTCTAAAACGGAGAAGGAGCCGACGTCACTGGGGGGGGGGGGGGGGGACCTGGGAGGCGAAGACGAATTCTTGACGTTGAATGGACTGAGTCCATCGCTCCGTCGAACTTCAACCTCAAATCGCTTGCCGCACTACCCCCACTCATTCGATTAAATGATGAATGTCACTACCACGACGCGGCGTTGCAGCATCACTGCAATCTCGCAAGCGCACATTGACAAGGATCCTGTTGCCCGCCTCCTTCCTCCGGTTGATACACACATCGTGCCCACGGGAGTCCCATGTGGCAACTTGCGGCCAATTTTTGTGGGACCCTTTGGTGAATTAACACCGATTTCCGCGAGGTGTTCAATCGTACTGTTGTGGAAATTTGGCCCTCTTTGCGAGTTTGTCATCGCCACTCTCATCACTTGTTTCGAAGGTTGTGGTCTCGTTTTCGTTTTTATGAATAAGGTTGTGGGGTTGTTGCAGCTGTGGAAAGGAATAGGTGTTGGAATATCGTGAGTTTACGGAAGACGAGGTGAGGGTGTGAGCTAGGGTTACTGGAGGGTAGTTGAGGTAGCCATGAGGGACGATGTGGCGTTGTCGTTCGATGGCGCGGATCCGTATCGAAGAGGGGGGAATATGAGGGGTGGTGGTATGAACGGGATGCAAGGGGGGATGCCGGGGGGTTCCTCTGCCTTGCCTTTCATGTCTTTCGACTTGGGTGATGTCGGTGTGTCTGCACCTCGGGTGAGCAGTGTGGGCTACTCTGGTGGTGGTGGTGGGTTTGGTGCTTTTGAAGATGAACCTCCGCTTCTTGAAGGTGGGTATGCCATCCCCGAACTTTTTTCTTTTTTCTTTTTTCTTTTTTTCCTTTCTTCTGGTCTTGTTTAAGTTTTGTACCTTTCGTGTTGATGTTTCTCTTCTTTCAAACTTTGTTCTTGTGCGTGGGATACAAGAACGTCCATTTGTGTGGCCATGAAATCGAGAGTGGTTTTTTGCGGTTCCCTCGCGAATGTGGCTTAGCGTTTTCGTTTTGTCCATTTACGGGATTTTTTTTAAATTTCTTACTATCGTTAATTCATAGGTTCTGATTTACGATCTCCTCTCTACATTTCCTCGTCGTTTATTTTTCACTCTCGATGTACACAGGATTTGAGTAAACTGCACTACCTTTTTCTTGCGCAGAGCTTGGGATTAACATCCCACAGATCACACGAAGAACTCTCACAGTTCTGAACCCTTTTCGCATCAACCCTGACCTACATGAAGATGCAGATCTGTCAGGGCCCATCATATTTTACATGCTCTTTGGCTTGTGCCAACTTCTAGGAGGTAAAGTGCATTTTGGAGTTATATTAGGGTGGACTACCCTAGCTTCCCTTTTCCTGTATACGATCTTCAATCTGTTGGCTGGGAAAAATGGGAGTCTCGACTTCTATCGATGCGTCAGCTTAGTGGGGTACTGTCAAATCCCTATGGTGCTTCTCTCGGCATTTTCCATCTTTCTTCCCCGGTGAGTCACCTTTTTACTGCACTTGCAAGAAGAGAAACTGTAAAAAAAATAACAGTTCGTGAACAACTTAAATAGTCATAAAATTTGTTTGTTTCGAAATTTTCTTGGATAAAATGTGAACCAGTGGTACAAGGTTCTTATTTCCTTGGTGCTCTGTGCAGGGGGATGCTTAAATATATTCTGGGAGTTTTGACAGTATTATGGTGTACTCGATCATGTACAAGTTTAATGGCCGTCCTTGTGCCTCACGCTGAGGAGCACAGGTCATTGGTGGCTTATCCCTGTGGCTTGATATACACTGCATTTTCTTTGCTTGTGATATTTTGATAACTCTCCGAAAAAGCTTGATAATTAGTCTATTTTTGAGCCTGATAACAGAGTCCTTTACGATGCGTCCTCTTCTCCACTTGAGTGGACTCAAAGTGACGATGATTTTTTCTCAGGTTGACATTTAATTTTCTATTACGGTTACAGTTCAGCTTAAGGCACAGAACTAGAGGTAACCTGTTATCGAGGCATTCCTCACATTCACATTTCACCGGGCAAGGATCCCACTGCCCCAGTTGTACCACTGCAGAGTTTTATTATCAAGTGAGTTTAGAATCTGTTCTTCGTAGGAAAGCGCTTCTGGTGTGTTGAATTCAAATGTACTGATGGGCAAATTCTTTAGTAGTTTGGTGATTGGACCCAACTTCAGATAGTTTTGGTGCAATCGTCGGATCACGATAAGAATCTCAGATTCTCGGACGTGGAATCTGCGTCAGCATTTTAACTGCTAGTTTCAAGAATGTGCGAAAAAGGCAACATGCATGTGTGAATTTCATTCATGTTTTAAGGTTGGGAATTGAAGCTAAGTTGGCGATTTGCAATTTAATGAAACTGATCAACTTCTGGAGTTCATAAGGCCAGGCTCTGTCTTAAAGCACTCACTGACAAAACTACATTTTGGAATCGAGAAAGGCAGCAAACCTTGTGCTGTCAGAACCTCAGTACAGAATCTGATGCGATCACCAAAAACCAACTTAACACATTTCGTTAGTTTCGATGGTGCAATTCTGCTTCCGAGATGTGGGATTTATCCAGTACAACTTCCATCCGTCTTCGTATTCGCCTTCGTTCAATTTCGCCCCGCCTTGCAGGAAGTCTTTTCTCTGAATGTTATGACCAGCAAAGTTGGGCATGATTCTTACACACTGAAGTTGCACCAGTGTAAAAGCCACAATCAAAGTTAGCACCACATGAAAAAGTGAAGACCAGCGAGAATAGGGCAGAGTAGCATTGGTCAAAAATCAGAACATGTAGCTGCTCCATGACTACTGCAACGCGGTTTTCCCGCCGTTGTAGCTTCCACGGTAGTGCTCATGCTCTGTGGGCTGTGTCGATATGCAAAGGAAAAGAAGTGTGCTTCGATGTCAGTTTAAACTTCAGATAGTAGTTAGTACAGTTTGATACCAGATGTCTGGACATTTACTCCATTTAGTTTAGAAGTCAGAGTGGGCCACGAAAGTCATAAGGACAATTGAATGGCTCATCATAAATGTTCAAGTTCATGAAACATGTGTTGGTATTGTTCACCTCACATTTGGTAACAGATCAAAAAGCATTTAAACAGGCCACGCTTTGCTTGCCATTACAAAGGACAAAGTAAGTGAAAGGTAAACCTTGCCAATACCCGATACAATTCATTAGGCTGCGATACTTCTTCGATCTCAATCATACGAATAACCTTAACTAGGAACCTCAAAGATATAACAATAACAGATAAAGCTAGGGTTACTGAAGTTCCGAAATCATTAGAAATTGTTATAATCAAAACGTACGGTCGTTGCTGAGTACACTCTAACCTATGTTCCCTGTTCACAACAATATCCTCCAAGTTTCTCGACAGCGATGTTGCATTCTCCAGGAGTGCCAGAAAAAAGTGCGCTGTTTGTTTCCCTGTGGTTCAGCCCCACGAACCGTATCATTTAAACTTAAGTTCTGAGAGCAAGTGACAGCACAGAGCCATTAATAAATATATGTATCAAATACATTCTGACTGAGTGAGCAAAAACGAGTTCCGACCCTTGATTGACGAGATGAGTACATTCTTTCCACGACTGGTAATCCCTTGATCACCCGTCAGAAACATCTACTTCGCTCCCCCCACTTTTAGATCATTCTGCAGCAGAGAGCTATTTCACTCATGATTGTGCAACGTATTTGCGATCTCAGTTGGGCTCACCTGCAAGATACATTTCACAATTAAGTTTCTCGAAGTAACATGAATATCAACAATAAAGACGGAGCTTTAACATTCCAGAGAACTAGCAGTATAATCCTAGCATCTACTATCGGAGATGTACACAGGATAAACAAATTCGGAGAAATTATGGCTCGGACATGTCGATCAGTCATCCGGAACATAACACTAAACTTTTAAAGGATGCCATGCCGATGGCTAGATTTCATGAAAAATGACACCTAAGAATGTATTGAGAAAAACCAAGCACTACCTAAACACTAGCCCCAAAACAGTACGAAAAATCGATGCGAAGATTGAAACAAGGCAGTAAGTGAACAAACATAACCTCGAGGAACGTAGCCCATTAGACCCATATATTTCGATCAAGTCCAACAGTAGCTGTGGAAATGAAAAACCCCGTAAATCAAGAAACCATTCACAGGCGGCTCCTACGCCATGGTTGCAGCCCTGGTCTTCCTCAACTACCCTAACCCTAAAAGGTTAAAAACTTCGCTATAAGCACATGGTAAACTCAAACAGGCACCTTGAAATCAGATAAAGATCCGCGTGTTTCCGTCCGAAAGCAAATCACCAAAAAAGCAAAACAGTAAGGCAAAGATATACACCAGCACAAAGAAAGCTTAAGCAACCTGATTAGCACCCGCATACCACAAATGTTGGGTGAGTACAATCACTCCGGTTCAAGTCAAGCAGCAAATTCAACAGGCGGGTGTACGATTCTTCTCCAAATACAACTGAAATCGCACAATAAAACAAAAACAACTCTGTTCACAGCACATAAAACCTCCGGGTTTAACACATTCAAGGCTCAAAAATCATAACTGAAACCATTATAGCCCATACCCGGAAGAGGGATGCTTGCAGTGAAAAAAGTGGTGAGAAACTGAAGGCGTCCGCGTCATTAAACAAGATGCAGGAGAGAAGAGGCAAAGGACAATAGTACAAGAAAGCGACTTGAATGGGGACGGCAAAAGTAACCATAGTAGCGACACAAAGTTTACACAACATCTGGCTACCGTTCCGTATGCTGCAATCAGAATTCATATCCACAACTAAAGGTCATACTCAATTTAGTCACAATAGTAAAAATTGCAGGTTACAAAAACAAATCCTGTGTAAGTACAACGAAAACAACAAAAGACATAGGCGACATATTCACACACGAAAATACCCACCGAACCAGCGCGAAAATACAAGACAGCTCACACCAAAGCATTAGAAGAATCAGATAAAATTATAACCTCCTTACGATCAATATGGATTCCTAAAAGAAATGCCAAAAAAAACGCTCAGAACACAACCAATATGTACAATCGTATTAAAACCGAACAAACTGCTCAGAAGCTCCGAAAAAACCATTCCCACACCCGTTAAACAACCTATTGCTCAACCAAAAACCATTCCAACACCCATTCAATAAACTCTTGCTCAACCAAAAAAACTCTGCGACTAATACTAACCCGTATTTCTGATGCCTTTACTTGT